AGTGTGTTTGGTTAAGATCCCTAGTTCATCATATTCAAAAAACATGTGATCTTTCTTCAACAACAAAACCTCCGACAATCATGTATGAAGACAATGCTGCTTGTATAGCTCAAATTAAAGAAGGGTTTATCAAGGGTGACAGAACCAAAAATATACCACCAAAGTTCTTCTATCCATATGAGCTTCAGAAGAATTAAGAGATTGAAGTCAAGCAAATTCGTTCCCAAGATACCCTAGTAGACCTCTTCACCAAAGCTCTTCTGAAGTCTATATTTCAGAAGTTGGTATATGGTATAGGGATGCGATGACTTTACAAGCAATCAGATTGTTGAAGATCAGAGGGAGATATCAATCAAGGAAACTCCTCAGTTTTACTACATCAGATGTATGTGCAATGTACTCTTTTTTCCTTCGATCAGGTTTTTATCCCATGTGGTTTTTCCTGACAAGGTTTTTAACGAGGCAACATTTAGCACGTCCAACATGATGTCAACGTATGGTGGACATCTAAGGGGGAGTGTTATAAATCCATACGTTATGAGTTTATAGGTTATGGATGCCCACAATAATAGCCACTATTAACCTATCATAATACCCATCATTATATACTTGTAACCTACCAATTATGGTTGGTAAATGATTTAGGACTCTCTACCCCTATAAATAGTGGATCCAAATATGAATGGAATACAAGTTGATTTGAGCAAATTATACTGCCTCTTTCTTCCTCTTATCTCTCCTTACAAATTCCCTAGTTTCACAACAAGGATATATTTATCTGCATTTTAGACAAGAAGGTGCAACTTAATTACCACAGCAAGAACAAATTTCACTTACACAAAGGTACAGTAATCATCTACTGTTTACTTTTGAGCATATAAGAAGTCAAGTAAATATAAATTTTTAAATAAAAATCAAAACAGCCCATAAGTCCCATTTCGGCTATAAACCACATTAGAATTCCAAGAGATTTTCTCAAACCCAACTAATGACACATGAACCTTAACGAAATTCCAATGAAAATAGAAAAATAAGATTGAAACTAGAACAAGACAAGTCAAATATAATAACCCGATCCTAAATTATTATTTAATTAATAAATTATTCTATTAAAAGACAATTTTATCCGATAATATTTAAATGGGTTCAAAAGTTGACTTTTTGTTCAGGAAAGAATTTGGGGATGGTAGTAGTACCTTGCGTAGAGCACATCGAGATGAGTCTGTAGACGTAGTGGGCTCAAATCAGAGTTGTAACGAAGAAGTTATGATCTATGGAAGCCCAGTGGCATAACAGTAAATATTTCGAAGATCAGTTTTTAAAAACCCATATTTTTCTTCTCTTTCTCCCTCTCACTCTACGTTCAAAACAGCCCCCCTTGCTGTTACTATTCATTATGTGGCTTTTTGGGCCACCCCTATCGTGTCCGACCACCCCCGGCCACAAGGGCGATACCAAAAGAACCAACGCAACGTTGCCTACCCATCCCGATCCTTCCCAGCTGCCTGTGCTCGCCGGAATATCGAGAAAAGTTGCCAATTTTACCCAAAACTTTCCGGAGTTCGTTCGGGCAATTCCAGCCACCATTTTCATCAATCTAAGTATGCTTTTCCATCATCTCAAATGTGTTCTAGCTGATGGTTGGGTTGATTAGGATCAATTTCTGTTTGAAACTCAAACTATTGCTTAAAGTTTCAACCCGTTTTGGCTCATATTTTTGGCAAGTTTCGATCACTTTTTGGCCATGGTCCAAGAACAAAAGTTGCTCCACTCATTGTTCTGATTGTGTGGGTATATCTTGACCGACGGTTTGAAGATTTTCCACTTGTCGAAATTACTATGGACACCCACAAGCTGCCGGCGAGTGTGGCAGCTCCTAAGCCACTTCATGGCTAGTCTTTGAGTCCTAAAATGATCCCCATGTCTTCTCGAGCACAATAGTATGCTCGGATTTGAATTTGGTTATCGTTTGCCTGTCAATCGGATATCGCATATTGGGCATTATCCGGGTTTGATATGTTCGGACCTTTAGATCGACTCCATTTTCATATATGTTGATCTAGGCATCTCTAGGATCGTGTAGGAATTTACGGATTGTGAATCCGAGTCTCGGATGTTCCAATTCAATGACTTAAAGGTTGTGTTAAATGATAACCGTATGATCGTGAGCAATTCTACCGTTTGTTTCAGACCAAACTTGAAGGACACGTATTGTAGACCTTGTTGAACCCGTTGGAACTCTCGGATCAGAAATCAGTGGTCGTGGGCCCTGGGGGCCCAATTGACCAAGTTTGGGCAGTTTGACCCCTCGGTTGACAGTGAATCTTCCGAGATAGTTCCACCCTTCCAGAAGTACTAGAACGACCTTATAAACAAGTCTCGACTGTTATTTGAGTTATTTTGATTATGTTGGAATTATGAGATTGTTTTATAGTATCTTATGGAATTCTTGGATATTATTTTGATAATTGAAGTTATGGAATAGATGAGCATGGAATACTTGATTGGTGGGTTGTGAAGATGAGCCATGGGTCTCGGCTATATTTATTAGGGAATGAGTGGATGTTTGTTTTTAAGTGTACTTCGCTCTTTTAATATGGAATTTCTTGCATAAGTGAGTTTTGATTAAAAAAAATTATTTAATTTGGGTTAATAAGGATATGGGATCACTAAGGGTTAATATTTTTACATTATTTATTATTATTATTTTGATTATTATTAAAGTATATGACTTAGTGATATTGGATTATTTAAATGTACTTGAGAACTGATTTTTTTGGAAAGTTGATAAAAGATTTGGAAAATGGATTTGTGAAATAAGGAAAAGTTTATGATAAGTTTCGGAATATGGTTTTCAAACCCACCACAGGAGTAATCCCCAGTTACCTTTGAAACAATAATCTCATTTATGACAATGCCCTACGAGTTTCGAGAACGCTTGAACCTTGTGGTGCAAGGATATGCGTTCTCAGGCTGACTATATGTCCCCCGAGTTCTGCGATGATGTGCACTCTTTGGCTGACTACATGTCTCTTGAGTTCTGCTAGGAATGCGGCTCGAGTTGACTTTGTGTTTCCGAGGTATGCGAGGATGTGTTGCTTATGTGACACTTGAAATTGACGGAATATTATTGGTATTGACAGAATATTAGTGGAATTGACAAATCGTGAATGGGGGTATGCCTAGGTGGAGAGTATTTGAGTTTTGAGATGTTTTGAACTAAAATTGATGATTTTATTTTGGTATTTATTGGTGAAGGTTTTAATATATGTTTTCCAACTTATGAGACAAGGATTGAGAGTTATCTAAGTTTTAAGGATTTTATATAGTTGACAATTATTTTCTTAAGTAATGAATTTGTTTTTACATGTGAAATGGGGAAACATATTTTAGTTAAATTGTCAAAATTGACATTAAGGTTTCATGTGGTCAATGTTATTTTAATAATTTTATCAATTTCCTACTTATAAGTAATAAGTTAATTATATATATATACTAGCCTTCCCGCATGCACTTTCGCGTTTGCAAGAGGTTTTTTTATAAAAAAAATTTAAATTTATTTTAGAATTAAAAAAGATAATGGGTAGTTGTGTTCCATATAAGATCTATTATCTGATTTTTCTTTTAATTTTAATTTTTTTAATATAAAAAAATTTAAATTTACCATATTATCATCATTTAATTAATAATTTTAATTCTTAATATTTGTATTAACCAAGGGCATTTTCTAGTATTTTGAATGTTTTACAATTCTCTGCCTTTTTCTTTATATATATATATATATATATGTATATATATATATATATTTATGCACATGTGAGAGGAGTGGAAGATTGTTCTGAAATCAATAGCCCTTGCTTGGGTTTCAGCAAATTGAGTTGAACTACAATGGCTTGATTCTTTAGTAAGGGTACATAGGCAACCTATAGTTACTAGGTGCAACCACAAGATCAAGTGTTGAAAATTTGTTTAATTGAGTTATATTGGAACTTAATAACGTATTCATGTTGTTCTAAGAGTTGTAACCAGATTCAGATGACATAATGATTTATTTGGTATAAAGAGGTCTGAAACTATTTAAAGTTATTTGTCTAATGCATGCTGAACGATTGGGATTTGAATTTATATATTTTTATAGGTGGAAATTTTTAAGGGAAATGTCTGTTTTTCAAGGGAAAGTCTGCCGGTTTTCCAGCAGAAGTTAAACCCTTAAGTTTGTTTTTTGTTTTGTGGTTCAGGGCAAGAGGGGTATTCTGGATATTTATGCTCGACACTTGTGAGGTGTAGGACACACATAGGGTTTGACACAGATTCCAAAGTAGAATTTGGGTTGGGTCATATCATCAAACTTGTAACCCCACAAGTTCATTTTAAAATCCACAAGCTTTAAATGGATAATTGGTTGTGTACTTGAAAGTCGACTATCACAATCCTGCCAAAGGCGTAGTACTTATGAGTCATGACCTTCATAAAGCAACAACTGAAAAGTTGGATATATGAAACAAAGGAAAGAGAATAAGATCATTATAGCCAAGCAATCAACAATCCTTTCCATAAGCTCCCACACAGCTTTTAAAGAGGTAAACTTCTCAACGTTTTACATCTTTAAAAGAGAAGAGTAATATGACAATAGGATGTAGAGGAGTTTGTATTTTTCTAAAACTTAATATGAAGAGTAATGGGGTGTGTAGGATGCGTGTATAGATGTACTAGGGTTAATTATTAAGTTGGATGACCTTTCTTGTCTTTTTACAAATAATAAACTTAACAGCTTAATGATTTAAGTATTAGGATGAACAAAAAAAAGTGCGGAGTTTAAATTGAAATTCAAAAATGTATCGAGAGCGAGCCAATACTTTCGGAAGGAAAAAAAATTGAAAAATGAAAAAGAGTCAATCCCACATGCCACATGGCATTTCTTCATTTGGTTCTATAGAAGTTGCTTTAACATCAAGTATGCTCAACTGCATCCAAACAAACACAAATCCTAACCTGACCAACAAAAAAATAAAAAATTTCACAAATCCAAATATTCAGGGAAAAAAAAAAAAAGGAAAAAACAAGCACACAAGCAAATAGCCAACTAATTTCCCTCGAAATCATCATCACTCCCACCTAAATCACAGTCAATTCCTTCTCCCGAATTCTAAGCCAAATCTCTCTCTCTCTCTCTCTCTCTCTCTCAAGAGCTCTCAGCAAACTGAGACAAAATGGCCGAAGAAAAAGAGTCATCGTCGGTTCCTCTAAGTCAGGCTGAGAATGGTATTCTAGATCCCGAAGATCCAGCCAAGTCTCCTCCAAGCTCCCCCAATTCCTCTACTCGTAAGGTCTGGCTCAATCTCCGCCCTCCATTCTTTTCCCTTTAAAATGTACGGATCTAAATATTAGATATTGCATGAGAGGTCTGGTTTAAATATGTCTGAGTTTAGGTAAATTAATGGTTGGCCAAATTGGGCAGATAACGACTTTGCATTTCCTGTTCAGTACTTATGCACTTTATTAGTATGATTTATTTTTATTTTAAAAAAAACATTTTCAATAGGAGTTTATGTACTTATTTTCACTTTTGTGTTTTGAGAAATGGCCAAAAAGCAACTTCTTTTCAATCCATGACTTTCTTTTACTGTCAATCCATGAAAACTTTTATCTAGGGTTTGGCAATGTGATTTTGGGGAGATATTTGGTTTTGCACCACATAATTGATTGCGTCAATCAAGGAATCACGAAGATTAGTGTTTATTTGGATCAGATGGTTTACTTAATTGGACTTTAAAAATATCTATTTATTGGATTAATTAATTCCACACACACATGGATTATTTAGGAGAAATGGTGATTTGAAATTATATTTTCTCATGAGTATTTGGAATCCTTCTATTTCTTGAATTATCAAATATAAACATTAGTTTTAGAACAAAAAAATTGTTAAACAATTTAGACTAAGTCCTTAGATCCATATCCTTCATTTATCCGATGGATTTTGATTTGGGTTTTATTCTTCTTTCTTTTAATGAAATATGTATATACCTTTCATTATTTTTTATTATTTGTAGGACCTTTCCTATTGAGAGGGGCGATAGTAAACTAAACTCACACACACTACACAGATGCTAGGACTTGAACCCAGGACCTTTTCTTGGGGGGTACTTGCTCCAAACCACTACACTAGTGGGTCCTTTGCTACCATTCTTTATTTAAACACTTCTGGTTTTGAGTATTTGAAATCTTGTATTTTCTTAAGTAATGAAATATATGTATGGAATGGACTTTTTCAGCATAAGAAATTTGTACTTATGAAGTCCAATAGGCAAGATCTTTTAAAAATTGAAATTTAGTTCTGTCATTTTGAATGATTCCATCCAAAAGGGCCATTAATTTTGTTATAGTTAGGAAGTTTAGTTCAAAAACATGTCGCATGAACCCAGCTTAAGGAACCTACTGTAGTTTCAATGTGGGATTCTCAACAATGGGATTCACATGGGTTCCATGTGAACTCCACTCAGATAATAGTGGAAATTTTTGCAATTCGAAGTTCCATCTATCATTTGCAGGGAATACCCAATTTTTGTTATGTCAAATGTAACAATCTAAGTAGCATCTTGTTCTACGTTAATATTCATTTCTGACCATTTTCAGGCTTGCTGCTTTGTTCTCCAAAGTTGGGTCTCAAAGAAGTTTATGACTGGATGGTAAAAAGTTTAGCCATAGCTTTTAAGTGCTCTATTTCTCAATCATTTTTTTATGATCTTCTAAGCCTATTGTTTTCTTCAATTGCTTGCAGTGTAGTTCTTTTTCCTGTTGCTGTTACGTTCTTTGTTACATGGTGGTTTATTCAGTTTGTTGATGGTTTCTTCAGTCCACTCTATGCTCAGCTTGGCATCGACATCTTCGGTATGATCTAAATGCATTACTAATGGCCTTTTTTGAGAACCTGCTCTTATTAAGTGAGGTAAACATGATAATAGTGGCTGCTTTCTTAAATATCTACAATTATTTTTTGGCATTTGTTAATAACTTTAGAGGTTGTAACTCATAAGAAATGATTAGCCAAGAAAAGAAAAAAAGAAAAGAAAAGGCTCGTAGGCAGTGCAAAATTGGGGCTTTTTTCTTTAACTGAGAACATGAATTTTCATTTTTAAGGTAGGAATGTTGTCCGAAGATAATGCAACAGGTTTTAGAAAGTGTGAAGAAGATTGAACATTTGCTTGTCCATTGTGATAGGAACTTTTAATCTTTGATTAACCCCATAGTTCAGATGTCCGCATGTGCTTAATGAGGCTTAGTGGTCAAGTGTTCAGTTACTGATGGAGCTTCAGTGTGGTAGGAACAATTGCAGCTGCATAAATCTGAAGGGTTTAAGTTGTAGTGCTAAGTTGGTGAGAGACCGTGGTAGTTGTGGGATTTAGAGAATGTGGTGGTGATGTGCTCAGTGCACTGCATTAACTTTCACCTTAGGGGGAAGGGTGGGGGTTTCTCTTGCTTATCACTCAACACGGCTTCACTGCGAAATATTAGCTTGTAATGACTGCCCTCCCAATGTGTCCAATGGTACAAAAGATTCTCTTTTTTTTTTTTTGAAACTGTTGATTTTTTCAATGCAAGCATATGCTGCATCTTTTATTGAAATTTGCACAGTTTTTGTTTTAGTAGCTTTACTAAATGCGTATTCTCTAAATTTTGATTTTGTACCGCCCATATTCTGCTTCAGTGTCTCTCTCTCAAGGTGCTTAGTGTATGATGCAGGACTTGGATTTGTCACATCCTTACTTTTTGTATTCTTTGTTGGTGTTTTTGTTTCATCGTGGATGGGTGCCACTGTTTTCTCGCTTGGAGAATGGATCATAAAGAAAATGCCTTTTGTTAAGCATATCTACTCTGCCTCCAAACAAATTAGTGCTGCAATTTCTCCAGGTAACAGTTATTTATTTTCTGTAAAACTTGGTCCCTGCATACATATTGTTGCAACAAGGGATTCAGATATGAACAAGAACTTGTGCAAACATCCTAGTTGAGGAGCCGGAGGAAAACACATGTTTTTAGCATGGGATGTCCAAATAAGCCATTATACTTGTTGAAACTCAAGTGCACAGGGATTGTTCTTAATAAAGAATTAAGATTTCTCAGAAAATCAACAAATTAGGCTCAAAAAAATCAATGCCAGCCTATATATTAGATGATGATAATGTATTCCAGCAGAAAGTTGTGAAGTGAAATGAGGATTGCAAGTCTTAAATATATACATCTAGGCTTAGACAGAAATCATTGATGAACCCCACACCTTTGACGATTGACAGCACATTGCAATTTAGGCTATTAAGTTTTTGTTGGGTTTGAATTTTAGCCTTCTGTTACACATTCACTTAACGAATTTTCCTTACATGGCATAGATGGACCCCACACCTTTCATGATGGTTATGCCATGTGGACAAACAACCAATAAAAGAAAATGAATCCAGCTGACCTCTTATAGCTTTTAATAAAAATTAAAAAATAAATAAATTTGACATAAAAAAAAAAAAAACTCATGGTATGTTCTATCGCTCCTTCCCTCCCTTCTCCCTCATCCCTCCATCTCCACCCATGACAGACCAGGAGTCAAGAGAGGGGTTTGGTGAGTTGGACCATTGTGAGACCATGCTCTCCGGAATGACTTCTCCATGTCAAGACCAGTCACTTGATGCTGAGGTGGTGTTATAAATAAAATTTTATTCAATGTAATACTGAATTTTAAGTGAATGAAAATGAATTGATATTAGTGTTATATAAGTTATTGCAGCTTATTGGGTTGAATTATTTACACTGTTCAAGTGGAAAGTCTTTAATAGTTGATTACCAAAATGACCCTTAAGGAAAGAGGAGGTGGGGAATGTAATCTACTGTTTGTTGATAACATAGTATATGCCCTTTGTCCACGTTTTTAGGATTTCAATTTGTAAGCATTTTAAATTGCCCTTGCAACTTGTTCCGAGCTTGGGGATTGGGGCTTATGCTAGGTTGACCTATTTTTCTTTTATTACAGATTCAAGCTAATTACCCGAAGAGCTTGAAAAACGGTTGTAAGAAAAAAAGAAAAGAAAAGAAAATGAGACATTAAATGTATATGTAAACAGAACAACATTTTTTGTATTTTTCATATTTTGCCAAGTCCATCTTGTGGATATTAGATACTCTTATAGTCTGATGTTGTTTGTTTCCTTCTAATGTAGTGATATAAACTCTGTAATTTTATAAATATACTTCAAATTGGCATTTTAGGCTTTGAGCTTCATTTTCCTTGCAGACCAGAATACCACAGCTTTTAAAGAGGTGGCAATTATCCGTCACCCACGTGTTGGCGAATATGCATTTGGGTTTATTACATCAACTGTCACCCTTCAGGTACTCTTTTTATTTTTTATTTTTATGTTTTTATTTTATTTTCTAAATGTTGAATCAAAATGCTTATTGTCCTTGCGGTTGGTTTTGTGTATTTCACATGCATGGCTTATTCCAGGAAAATAATTTGCTTCCAAATTTATTTTTTGGGCTGTCATTCTTGAGTCCTTCTAAATGAGTTATTGTTCTGTTTTTTCTTTTTCCCCTGTACTTTCGTAGAGAAGGCCCTCATTAAAATTAAGGTTTTTTAGGTTTTAGACATAAAAAAATTTTCACTTTTGGAAAAAGCCAAAGCTTTTTCAAAAAAGACAAAAAAACCACTCAACTTTCAAATCAAAGACATGCAAATGTATTGGATTCCTTAGGAAATCTAAAAATAAATAAGGGCATTTTTGTCCATTTTTGCTTCTTTTAAAATTTTTCTCTCTCCTTTTGCTTTTTCCAAAATGTCCCCATTAATTACTTGTAGTGTTGGATTACTTTGTTGGCAATGCATACAAGACACTAAGCTTAATTGATCCAGGATATGAGTTAACTATTACCAAGATCAATTTTAGAATTAACTCAAGCTATTAAATTTTACCAGGCATCGACACCCATCAACAAACGAGGAATTCACAGTAAGAAATAGACATGAAACTAGTCAACCTCATTGCCCGCATTATTTTCCTCAAAATCTAGAATTTAAAGTGATTCCAAGAATTGTATAGATTCCTCTAGTTTTAGGGCGTGTTCAAAGTCTAATGCTTAGTCTTAAATTCCATAGGCTTCAATGAAAACAAGTTTAGAAATAAGGCAATGAAAGAAGAATGGGCTGGAATATCAACAAGGAAACATTTACTCGAAAGTAATGGAAATTAAACAACAAACCTCTTAATAATAAAGATAAGGACAAACTTGGCTTTGCACCAAAAACATGGCATCACACCAAAATTCCCATTGCAGGAAAGTAAACCAGAAAATTTCTGATAACTGAATTTTATTCATCGAAGTTCATTGCCATTGCTCAAGGCACTTACATATATTTATACCCAAATACAAAGACTCTAAATTCATGCACCAAGACTTTATTACTGGATACATTTACCAAAACTTTATTACTAAATACATGTACTAAGACTTTATTACTGGAATTGAATGACACTTAACTTTAATAAAGAGTCTTTAAAAGACTAAATAAATTGAAGAGAACTCTTTAAAACTGAAGGTAAATTTGAAGTCTCTGATGTAGCTCTTGTATAATATGAGGAGGATTTAATCCAGCCATAAAGACATAACTGGATTATGATTAATCTTCTTCCATCTCTCTCTCATAGACTCTAAGGGCTTGTGTGGGACTGCTTCTCTAGAAAGCACTTCTGCTCATAAGCACTTCTAGCAAAAGCACTTTTATTATAAAGATGTTGAAATCTTCGTAAGAAATCCTACTGCTTCCTGGAAAAGTACTTGGGAATGATTCCTGGAAAAGTACTTGGGAGTGCTTCCTGGAAAAGTACTTGGGAGTGCTTCCTGAAGAAGTACATAGTAGGGGCTTCTCCAGAAAGCACTTCTAAACTTTTCTGCCAAACGCAATCATAAGCGCTTTTGGGTGTCAAAAAGCACTTTTAGCCCTTCTAGAAGCACTCCCAAACAGGTCCTAAGTGGTTTGACAAAGATTTTCTCATCATTAATCATATTGAACTGTTTAATGCGTTTATGATGATGCCATAATAAACATATCTAAGCTTAAGAAATTGGTTAAAATCTTTTATAAAAGATTCTGAAATGCTATCCATATAGAAGCTGTTTTGCATATGATAATTTGGTTTCCTCATCTTCATTAGAGAAGGTCATTGGCAATGTATTTTCTTTTCAGCATCTGTACAAAATTCTCGGGGATGCGACCAATGATCTTTTCTTATAAACTCCCAAGCTTAACATCTTCGATTAGGCAGTAGTTAAAAACTTCAATTGATACAAGGAAAACAACTGGTTGTGGGCTCTGGTTTGAATTTACAATACAGAATCTTTCAAGTTTTGTTTGACTTGGAACATAACCGGGCAGCATTCCTCTTTTACCATTTTAAGAGAGATGATCCATTAAGAAGTTCATCAATGAACAGCTGAACACCATAACAGTGGGGAAGATTCTAACCAGTGTTAGAATCGAAGAGATAAGTACTCCTGCCTCTTACTAAATGAAAAATGGTATCTTTCTTTGATCTGAAACCAATAATTGGAGCAGCGAGAGCACAGTGAGACCATGAGTTGCCTACATATAATAGGCCCTGTTGTGAAAGGATTTCAGACAATTGACATAATGATTGAGAATAAAGATATTAAGTTTACCCAATTAGCTGGTTCTAGTTTTCTTCTGTTTTCTGTCTCATTTTTATCAATTGAAATCAAACAAAAGCAGTCCAACATCACTCAAGTATTCTTTTACCTTGTATTTCCAACATAAAAATCACTTTTTGGTGTGCTTTGCGTGATGACCCGCTGAATCATGTTAACTGCATTGTGTTTGTGTTTGATGCGTCAATCAGTTGCTGATCTTTGGTTTTCTTGTTGGTTTTTCTGCAGAGAGATAATGAAGATGAGGAGTTGTGTAGTGTTTTTGTCCCAACAAATCATCTATACATAGGCGATATATTTCTTGTAAACTCCAAAGAGATCATAAGACCAAATCTGTCTATTCGAGAAGGCATAGGTAAGATTTCTCCTTTTGGCCTGACATAGGTAGGGGTGGCAATCCATGTTTGTTGTTCGTGTTCTTGTCGTGTCATTTAGTGTTCTTGCCAAATATTAGTCAACTCTAACCTGTCATGTTCGAGTTGACCCGTGTGTTCTAATCTAAAAACTTGAAATTAAGTTTAGTAATTTTTTTTCCTAAACAAAATATGTGACTTATACATGAGTTATAAACTAAAATGTGTTTTTATTCATTATCAGCTCACTCGTGTTTGACATTAACTTGGTCCATTAATTATTCATGTTAGAGGGTCATGTCCTTTTCATGTTTGTGTCAAGTAATAGTAAAACCCCAACCCTCATATCGGGTTTGAGTCATATCAACAATTGCAACAAAAACATGCCTTTGCCCACATAGGTCCAAGTTTGTCTCTTTTCAACCACTCTGGGCCAGCTCCACAGTAATTATTGTTTTCGTAGCTATTACTATTAGGCAACCCTAATCATGTACCGTGATGATCTGGTAGACATGGATGGAGGTGTCTGTCTGCCCTGAAGGTATGCTCCCCTTGTTGAAAGGGTGGGTAACAGAGGCTCTTCATTATTAAAAAAAATAGTAAATTAACATACGTTTTCATTGTCTGCAATAATAACCTTCACATAATTCTTTATAATTTTTTGAAATTTTTATGGTGGGCACAAAAAGTTTGATTACATTTCCGATATATCCCTCTGTGTGTGGAAAATCTACGTTATTGCATGCTAATGGATATCAAACATGCATTGACCCCATTCAAAAATTTAGATATACTTCTGTCTACCAGTTCATAAGTAGTTGTGCTCAGTAGGTACTTAAGTTGGTAGTTAGCCTAACAGCTGTACATGGGAATTTGCATGTCTTCTGTTGACTGAAGGGAATGCATCAATGTCAAAACTTTTGCCACCAAAGCATTGAACTTTTTGACCTTCATTAGATTGCTGTTACATTTTTTTCCCCTGCCAATAATGCAGAGATAATTGTTTCTGGGGGTATGTCAATGCCCCAAATCATTTCTCCTCAACAAAGGATTGCCCAGCAGATTGAGAAAATTCCGTTGAACAGAATAAAGTGATTGCATCAAACTGAGACGTTTCTGGTAATTTTATGTGCCATGATGTATGAAGCATCAAAGTGTTCTCTGTTCGCTGGAATGATGAGATTAGGGTTGTTCATAGCAGTAGGCTTTTAGAGGAAATATTATGCTATTTTCAGTTTTGTAGTTATACTCACATTGGGAAGTGCATTTGTATACCATATGATTAAATGATGTATCGTCTATGTTTATTTAGACAAAAAGGGCTGGAGTCTCAATGACATGATTCTTTACGCATATATCTTGTTGCTTATAATTTCACTCTCTCCTCTCTCTCTCTCTCTCTCTCTCTCTCTCTCTAAGTTATAATTTCAATCTCTCCTCTCTCTCTCTCTCTCTCTCTCTCTCTCTCTCTCTCTGAACAACCATGAAGCATTCTGGATCTTTAAAGAATTTTTCCCATTCTCAGTCGGCATTGCCACATTTTGTTAATGATGTGATTGGTGGCCCTTTTTTTTTAAACAAAAAATTATTCTGGTACGGTTTGCGATTAAATCCTCACAATTGCTTTTTTTGGTTCTTTTTGGTGGTGGCTGGCTGTCACAAAAAACAATAATATTTTGAAAGGGTAAAGTGCCGTTTTACCTCCTGGGTCATCGTCCTAGTCGAATTTTACCCCCTCAGTTATATTTTCAGCCAATTGAAGACCTCCAAGTTCATCAGATTTTCCGTCAATTTTACTACAGTAAAAATTCACGACTTTTAGAGTTTGATACATCAAATTTTGTCTCTGTGCATATATAGTTGATTTTCTTACTAGTTTCATACATGCCGTTGGTTTTTTTGTTAACAAATATGTTAAGTTGGTTTTTTGGTTAACAAATACGTGGCAACAAATGTGTCATGTAGCATATATTATTAAATAAATAAATAAATAATAAATAATAAAATTAAAAAACTTAAATTTTAAAATTAAAAATTAAAATCTCTCTATCTCTCTTGCAAAGGACAACTAATTGAAAATAGGTTGTTCATTTTGGTTTGCAATGTAGAACAATCATGCACTTTTAGCCACTTTGAAAGTCATCCAAACAATTTCATTGTACGAGATGATTCGATTACTAGCGAATTATCAATTGTTGTAAGTCTTGATAACTCTTTGATCCATAAATTCATATTTTCTTAGTTTGGTATGATTTGGGTGGCTCCAACCGTAAAGGAAGTGTTAGGAAAGTAAAGCTTCTAAGGGACAAATTCCTTATAATTGAGACTTAATTTCTAGATACCTTATTTCTTTTTAGTATGTTTAATTTTAAATTTAATTCATATTGTAATTGTAATAATATTTATAGGCAACTTGAATGTTGTAACATTCATTTTATATTATTACAGTGAATGGGTAAACTCACAGTTTAAAAGTGTCAAGGTTGACCATAAGCTAACGAATTTTGCAATCTCGTGATGGTTTTTGCTTCTCAGGGATAACATTTTCTTGGCAGATAAAAATCGTCAAGTATGTGGTATTGACACTGGTATTGTGGGTAGAGTAATGCTATTTAGACGCATAAAATTGATCACATTAGTTTACTACCTTATGTGTCAGTTGATGTGATCATGCCACGTCAATTAATGAATATTGCCATGTGAATTCTACTTTTATTTATTAATTTCTCTTTTAAATAATCATTAAAAAGAAAAACTAAAAGTGAAATAGAAAATAAATAAATAAAACATTAGCATCCATGTATCCTCACGCTTTTTATGCTCTTCGTCTCCAACACAACCGTCCTCCATCACCTCATCCGCATCCTCCATTGTTAATGCACTGTGAAAAGAATAAACTACACTGAAAATTTCGAAACACAAAAACAATGGAATAAAATTTGCAATTTGATTTAAATTCCACATATGCAACAACAATTATACATCAGTTTAATATAAATCTTAAGATTTGTTTACCACAATATACAACTAGTTCATATTTATTTGGCGAGAACAACAAAAATGGAGACATTGCAGTGGAGAAGATGTAATATTGTAAATTTGTAATCCCTTGCTAATTTATTTTGATATGTCTTTTTTCCCTTCTTGATAAGAGTGACCAATCTTTATGGCGTCGTGTGATAATAGGTAGTCAGTGAAGGCGAGAAGGTTTCGGATTGAGAGAGCAATCCGAACATCAACTTCGGTAATAAATTTGTCGATTTTCTTTTTTCTTTTTTATAAATGTTTTACGCGTATGTGCTACTAGGTTTAAATAAAAACAGTGGTAGAAGATTTTTATTGAGAAAACTCCAAATCTCAGCAACAACGATGGAGGATGGGAATGGGTGGATTTGATGGAGGAAGGGAATGCTGTGGAGACTAAGAGCAGATAAAGCGTGAGGCTACAGACGAGGGACGTCAGGGTTTCTATTTATTTATTTTCTATTTCACTTTTAGTTTTTGTTTTTAATGATTATTGAAAAGAAAAATTAATAAATAAAAATAAAATTCACATGGCAGAATTCATTAATTGACATGACATGACCACATCAACTACAACATAAGATAGTCAGCTAATATTCTCAATCTTGTGTATCTAAATAGTATTACTGTTAAGAATATATGTATGTGACAATCCGTATTCTTAAAAGTTTTTAAAAAAGAATATTAAACGTATATATATATATATATTATTACGTTTACAATACTATTTTAATAATTATTTGTATTTAATATATATATATTGGTTATATTTATGTGTGTAATTATCATGCATGTTAAATGGCTAAGCTCAAAAGTGAAGTAATCTTATTGCATTTGCAACACCTCCTACTATTACATTTTATACCCGGCAGTCTTACATTCATTACATGCATTATCACCTTGAGTTCATCTATTTACCTTGTAAAGCATGAGACACCTCATGCTATAATTTCGGGTTGCTGGCAGCCTTATCTTGTTAATGTCATGCCAAATCGACAACATGATATTTTGTTAGCCGCCACAGGTTAGTAGCAACCGACTTTCCCTTAATATAAATAGGGCATTCTACAATTGAAATAAGAGTAAGAAATGAGAGAGAGAGAGAGAGAGAGAGAGAGAGAGAGAGAGAATGTGTGTGTGTGTGTGTAGCTTCTATTTTCTTAAGGGAAATTGGCGGCTTTACCCCTGGCTCACCTAATTTATTCACTACTATCCTTATTTTGAAACCCAATCACAAATGCCCCTTGTAAAAACTCCTTATTGACAGCTTATTGCCCATCTTTCATTTTTGTTTAGTCATTTTGAGCTCTCTCAAATCCTCTTTCACAATTTCTTGATCTCACTCACTCAGCCCTCCTCTTCTTTCTTCTCTCTTTCTTGCTTGCACCCACATTGACAACAGTCACTGTCACTTCCTCAGAAACCCTAACCCATATCGGCGATGACGACCTTTCCACCTCCATCTCTCACTCTCTGTCACCTCTTTCGACCTCCATGCCTAGAGACAGCATCTCAGGTAGACAACTTGGCTTTTCTCCTACACATTTGGGTTTTCTTCTCCTTGTTTCAATTTCGTATATGGGTTTGGATTTTTGGTGCTTGATGTGAGTTCAAGGCCCTCCAAGTAAAATTTGGGTGAGATTGTACATAAATTTGTTGAAACATAATTGTGGGTTTAATTTAAAATTTTACTCTCTTTGTTTACAATTAATATTTTTAGCTTGTGTAGAGAATGTTATTTCAGTGAGATTATACAAGAACTTTTTAAACCAAAATTTTGAGATTGTGCAACAAATATTTCTCAGTTTGTCTCAAGGAATATTATGCTTGAAGCTTGTCCAATCTACAATGATTTTGAAGATTTTCTTTTGCTTATTGAATTTAATTACTAAGTTATGTTTTTATTTTGACGAAAAAAACAATTGAAGAAACACAGTTATTTGTTTCAATGATCTAAATTTGTTTGTTTTGTTTTGGGATGTGATTTTTTGAATGAACTACATAAATTGATTATGTTTTAATATTGTTTTTGTTTTTTTTGTATTTGTTTTGGGTTTCTTTGATTGATTGAGATTATTGGGTGATTGGTTTCACTGTTTTGAATGAGATATTAACGGGTTTTTGTTGTGGCTTGCTGTTTCTGTGATTGAATGAAATTTACCAACTATTTCATGTGGTTGTTAAGCTCTTGGACTTGGATACATTGTTTTGTGCTTATGATTTGTCTTTGAAATGATGTATACACTGTTTTGTGATTGAGACTGGGACTTGCAGATCTCCTTGAAGGTAATGTATTCACTCTTTTGGGTGGTATGATATTCGATATGAAACAATCTTGGATAGTCAAGGTTTGACAATTTGTAAGTAGTTAGTTAGTAATAGGATACCCTACGTGAATGGCTTTGGGTGGATTTAACTTTAAGAGTTCTTGATACATGCCTTCCTTACTGGAGCTTGAAACACAGCTATGCTAGCTGAACTGTTTCACTTTGCATAATACAGATGTTTTAAAATTGTTGGTTGTTGATGTTTAATTGATGTTTTATCTATATGGTTTATCCACTAGTTGATAGATTTTTTATTGGTAGCTTAACATGTGTTAACAAAAGGAAGTTTTATGATGGTCAGAAATGGACACAATTGGAATTTTGGTTTGCAACAATGGAAAATGGGTAATCTCAAAGAAGATGTGCACATATGAAGGGGGTGACTCAAAATGCATAATATTTTCGCGAAACATCACGTTTGGTGAGCTTTTGGAACGGGTGCATAAGATTATTAATACAAACAATAAGGAAGACAAGCTTTGTTTAAAGTTCTCAGTTTCAATATCTTCGAATGAGTGTAAGCATATCAAGATTGAGGACAATGATGATGTTAAATTTTTATTAAGTACATTTGTGACGTAATTCCTTCGAAAGTGGCTCCTTTGCTAGTGAGCATAGAAGACAGAGAAGTGACAAATGTCGTAGGTGATCGTATGCATATTACAACGAATATGAGTCGGATGGTCTGTTCTTCAAATGTCATAGTTAAAAGCAATGGTGATGTACATGGTGATTTTGAAACAGAATATTTAGAAATGATTAATTTTACAAGGGTGGAGGGGGTGCATAGTGGTGATAATGGTACGGAAATGAATGGCTTGCAAATGCACTCAGCCCCTCCTATTTTGGCCAATTTGGAGACATTTTCACAAGTGGGTGTGGTGGGTTTCGGAACAAGGTCTGAACTTTCTATTCAACATAATTGGAGGCAAATGGGTGAACAAAACGTGCACAATTTGGGTATTGTAAATTATGAAGAAGAAGATATTGAAAGCGCGTA